ATAACCCCAGGCTCAAGTGAGCCCACCTTTTCTCTGAAGTGATCATTATCCGAGAAATTGAATCAATCCTGGGATGCCTTGCAACCATTGTTATCTTCACTTCATGTGTCTGTGTGCCACCTCCCAGACTAGCTTGGTCTCCACATACTGTCCCTGCACACAAAAGGCCAAGAATCTCCACAAATATTTCTTCACTTTATTAGATTTAAACGGGGATAACTGAACTCAGTAGAATTTAACTATGCTTTTATTCCATCAGATACGTTTTATTGAATTTCTGGGAAAGACAGACACCACTAGCAAAAGGACCTGGAATGGAAGTCAAGAACCCTACTGTAGGCTCACCAGATGACCATGAACATGCTGCTGACCCATGGTCTCCTAAAGTAGAACCTAACTAGAGATGGTGATATGCATTATTTCCACTTCCCAAATCAGAGTAAAAGGAAGGAGAAGGAAACTTGAAGATTTCCAAACATCCAGGAGCTATTTTTGGAAATGAATTACTTTTCCTTTCACTTTTCTTTGAAAAATAAATAAATAAATAAATAAATAAATAAATAAATAAATGGAAGGAAAGGAAAAGATAGATGTTAGACCAAAAAATAAGGGTTGATGATCTAAATGGAAGAGACGCTTCTTAGAGGGACTGACCTCTTACACCCTTAAAAACAAGATGCTCCCCCATGTTCATACAAACACTATCTATATAACCTTAAAAAAAGAAAAAAGGAGAAATCACTACCTGTTTATCAGAAAGCTTAACCAGGACAGTTTATATAATCCAGAAATAGACTCTGCAGGATAAATATAGCAAACCTCCTATTAGTTAATACTGAATAACTAAATAAAGGTTCCAAGAAGGTAGCAATGATGTTATTTGGCTGTTAAATGGGGATCCAACCTAGCAAATTCCAGAGCTATGGATTGTTTTCCCCTTAAAGCAAAAGAGTCTTCAGAAGACTTGTAAGATACCACAGAATTCCTCCATGAAGCACAGGTCAAATCCCATCTGGTGAGCAAATGGGTCCCCAAAAGCTTATGCCATGACATGATCTTGCTCTTCCACCATCAGCATGATTATTTACACTTTGATCTCAAATGTGATATCATCCACCATACTTAAGCTGCCCAGAGCTGGCATTTCCAGTACCGTACAACTCCACCTGAGCTACAGGAAATGGAACATGAGGTTTCAACCACTCAGTCCATCTATAGGATAATACCCAAACAACTCTGCAAGACACACACGTAAACACAACTGTCATAGACAGTGAAACTTTACCAAGGGGGCAAAAATGCTCTTCCCATATTTTCTGCCCAATGGTAAATACCTTTTCATAAGGTGGTTAAGGTACTCTGAGTTAATATATTCAGTTAATATATAAGTGTGCCACTAATGTAAACCACACAAGACTCATGTAAGGAAACTACCAGCCATAGAAATAAGTTAACTTTGTAGTTTGTTTTTTTGGGTTTTTTTGGTGTGGGGTTTTGTTTTGTTTTGTTTTTTGAGACAAGGTCTCACTGTCACCCAGGCTGGAGTGCAGTGGCACCACCACGGCTCACTGCAGCCTGGATCTCCCCAGCTCAAGCAATCCTCCCAGTTCAGCCTCCTAAGTAGCTGGGACTACAGGCACATGCTACCCTGCCCACGTAATTATTTCATTTGTTTGTAGAGACAGAGTCTCCCTATGTTGCCCAGGTTCATCTTGAACTCCTGGACTCAAGCAATCTTGCCACCTGGGCCTCCCAAAGTGCTGGGATTATAGGCATGAACCACCATGCCTGGCCTAACTTTGCAGTTTTTAACCAAGTTTTTGGGTATGATTCCCAGTAAACCATGAAAATTATATGCACAGTATCAATCTATAGAAACAGCGAATTTAAACTGAAGGTAGGTTTTTTTGTTTTTTGAGACAGAGTCTCACTCTGTTACCCAGGCTGAAGTGCAGTGGCGTGATCTCGGCTCACTGCAACCTCCGCCTCCCGGGTTCAAGCGATTCTGCTGCCTCAGCCTCCCAAGTAGCTAAGACTACAGGTGCACACCACTACACCCGGCTAATTTTTGTGTTTTTAGTAGAGACAGGGTTTCACCATGTTGGCCAGGCTGGTCTTGAGCTGACCTCAAGTGATCCACCCACCTCGGCCTCCCAAAGTGCTGAGATTACAGGCATGAGCAACCACGCCCAGCCAACCGAAGGTAGGCTTATAATCAAACTAAAAAATTGTTTTAAAAATATTGAGATTTTGTATACATCTGTATCCACATCTGTAAAGATGTCTCCTTGTATCTTCGTTGTAACTTTAAAAAGCAGAGTTACAATAAATTCAGGGACGTGCTCTGAGCTGGCACTATCAAATGTTAAACACAACACTGAATGGAATGACTATAAAACTCGAGGAGAGATTTTGTTTACAGCCCTTGGACCATATTTTATGCTATACAGTTTTTACCAAAGTTTATATGAAATGATGTTTAAAGTCAACAATTTTCACTTAACCTACTACATTCATTTATTCCACCACAATTTCATTTTCTTAAAAAGAAAAAAACAAGCTATTATTTATGTGCCTTTCTCCTGTCAGGTCTCTATGTGGAAGCTGTTTGGTGAAAGTCCTCATATTTCTTGAATACCATTTTCCTGTATGTGACTCAAATGCAACTCAAAAAGGGTTTTAACTGTCAGATGCACATGGAGAAAACATTGCCCTCTGACATACAGTTCTTCCCATATAATAAAAGTTAATTACAACTTTAAAGGATAACCCACCACCTATAAAACTCAGCCAGGTTCTGTTTTGAAAGAGGAAGAAGAATGACTATTACAGCCTTCAGCCGACTCCACTTAAATGTTTGTGGCTTGCTGAACATTCCATACATATTTCGGGCAAGGTATTATGGGAGCTGAAGTTCAAGCTGTCCCCTGCTGAATTTTCACTCACTATAAAAACAACATCTCATAAAAGTACACACATGTTTTTACTTTACAAAAAAAAAAAGGTAAAATATCCACTTTTGTTCACTCAATTGACACTTTGAGCATTAGAACGGAGATTTTTTAAAAACCTGTAAGTTATTGTCTGAAAAGTAACAAATCAATTTCTGAAAAAAAGGAATATAGGAAATGTGTCTGAAATACATGGAAAACAAGATTCTCCAAGCTGATTTTTGTATGGTCCATTCACGTCTGTCACAGGTTACACCATTAAAAAGAAAATCCTCACATTGATATCCTTCAGCATGAATCTCCACTCCAATATAACCACAACTGTTTTATATTACTCTTGGAAAGTGAGCCTTAGCCTTTTCTAAGCAAAACACTATTTTAATTAGTTCATTTTCCAGTTGTTTGGGTTTTTAACATATATACAGTATAAAAGGGCACTGCATTCCAAGCAGTTCTACCATTTCCAGAACCATCCAAGGGCTGATCAAACAGCTGGGGCCCTAGCCTTTGGTTAAAATTATAACATGATCTCACCTGATTTTCAAAATAACTAGGCATCTTTTTAACCCATAAAATTGTACTAGAATTGATATAGGTTTCTCAGCCTAGAGGCTTGCAATATTCAGTGAGAATGTTAGGGAACCACGATCTTTTTGTTTTGCTTTCTTTTGTTTTCCCCTGCTTGGACTCAGAGAAATCTTCAAACAATTCAGCAGCTTCTCTCCTCAAAAGTTTATTTTCAGACGCCAGTGCCATGCAGGTAGGAGGAAGCAGGCACAATGTCACTACACTGGGCCTCTGCAAGTCTTCAAATCACTGGGAAGCCTGTGGTGTTTCCTTTTTGGCACTCAGGCCCTGGAAGGAGAGTTGCTCTAGAGAGAACAAGACATCAGATAACCTGTGGAAACACTTGATGTCCACAGAATTCCCAATTCCACACAAAATGCGTCTCTGTAAAAGCAGCTGAACAATTGAAACCCGTAGACAATCGAGCGAAAAGTTAAGGAAAAGCTTCATTACATGAAATTAATTAAATGAAATCTGGTAGTGCTTTTAGAAGAGTCAGTTTTTACTTGATTGGGTTTTTATACGTGAATAAGACAGCTTTGTACCCCATGCATATCTTTCACAAAAAGGAAACTTAAAATACAACTCTTGTTTTTCGTTTATTCCAAAAGCATATGGGACTAATCATATTGCATTCTGGCTGCAGTACAGAAGGCTATTTCAAACAGTTTTAACTCACGAGTTTTAAGGCGCTAAAGAGCAACTAGAGTTTGGGAACAGACTTCTCCAACTCCAAAAGGGTTGGGAATCCCTCAAGGGCCCGTCTGGCATCAGGTTTTGGATGGAAACCAGCCTGAACCCGCCAGACAGGGAACCCGCACCCCAAAGCTGGGGCGCACGTTTGTGATCCAAGGTGACAGCTCATCTCGCCACCGCGGGGCTGGGGACACCTGCAGAACCAGGGCCGGGGCAGTGGGCCGCAGACGCCCGGGACCGGGATGGGCGAGGCTGCCGCAGAGAAAGGAAAAGAGGGCCATCTGTCAGCCCCAGGAGAGGAAATTCCAGGCGCCCAGTTCCCAGGCGCCGGACAGCGGGTGACGTGAGGGAACCGAATGAGAGGGTCCGCCCAGCGGCGAGGGACCGGTAGGCGGCCGGCCTCGGCGCTCAGAGGACTCGAGGCCTGGAGAAGGGGCACCTCTATTCTTGGTCAGAGCCCCGGGAGTCGGGGTATTGGGAGGGCGGATCCTCTCCCCGACCCCGGGAACCAAAGATCTCCACCCAGCCCAGAGGGCCTCCTAGTGTCTCCGATCCTCTCCCTGGGCCCAAGGGATGGGGGCGCCTCGATCGTAGCCTGGACTGGAGCACTCCAGGGAGTCCCCTGGTTTCGGGGATGGAGGCGCTCCGAGCTCTGCCCGGGCCCGGGGGTTCTCGGCGGCCCCGCGCTGGGCGGGGCGTGTCCCCAGCGCATCCGCGGTGGCGCCGGCCGGCGGCCCGGGTCGTAGCGCCCGCGCCGGGTCTGGCGCCCCCAGCCGGCCCGCTTACCGGTCGCGGGGGTCGATCCACGACGTCTGGCGCGTGTTGTGGTCAATGTAAAAGACGCGGCCGTCGTAGTCTCGCGCCTCCTCCCAGCCGGCGGGCAGCGGCAGCTCCGCGCTCTCCCGGGCCCGCGGCTGCGGCGCGGAGGGAGCGGGGGGCGTGGGGACCGCGGCGGGGGGCGCCGGCGGCGGCGGTTCCCGCTGGGGCTGCGCGGACGGCGGCGGCTCCCGCGGGGCCTCGCGCGGCTGTCCCCGCCGTCGCCGCCGGCCGCCGCTCAGCCAAGGCATGACGGCGCGGGCCCCGCCGCCGCCCGGCCGCCCCGCGCGCGCCGCCTCCTCCGCCAGCACTAAGGCCCGGCGCCCGGGGCGCGGGGGCGGCCGCGGGGAGCCGCCCGCCGCTCCCGGCGCATCCTCTGCCCGGCGCCCGTGCACCGGCGTCCGCCCGCCCGCCCTAGCGAGCCGCTGCCCGCGCCGCCCACTCCGTTCGGGTAGCCCAGGTGGCCGCTGCACGCGAAGTCACAGCCCGGGAGCCGCCGCCGCAGCTGCCGCCGCTGCCGGCCGCCTCTCCGTTCCCGCGGCGCGCCCGGCCATCTTCGTTCCTCGGCGCGGCCCGGGCGAGCAGGGGCTGGGCGTTCGCAGGCCCCGCCTCCGGCCGTCCCGCCCCGTTCTCACCCAGCCCCCGCGGCTCCTCCCACGCCGGCTGCTCCTCCCGAATCTCCCACGGAGGCTCTCCCTCCTCCTGCCGCCTCTGCTTCTCCACCCACTCCCGCTGCTCCGCCTCCCCCAGCCCCGCGTCCTCCGCGGCTCTCCGTCGCCGGCTGCTCCGCCTCCAGTCTCCCTCGGGGTCCTCCTCGACGCTCGACTCCTCGACCCCCGACCTCGACCCCACCCCACCCCCACCCCTGCCCGGCTCCTCCCCTCCGCCGTCCTCCCACCCGCGCGCTCCTCCTCTCCTCCCGCTCCACCACCTTCCTCCGCCTCGGAAACCGCATGAGGCCAGGATGCGCCGCCGCGTCAGTCCGCCCCCGGCCTTGCAGAGGAAGGCGGGCGGAGAGGACGACGCCCGCCCGGACTGGTGGGCGCGGCCTGCCTGGGGTGACTCTCGGGCGCAAACACCCTGAGCGGGCAGTCCCCTCCCTTTCACCTGCTCCCGGGCTCTGGCTGTCTGGGAGACCTCTGCACTTTGGGAGGTTGCGCCGGTCTCCCACAACCTGGTCTGGTCCCGGCTGGCGTGGAAAAGCCCGTGAAGGCGGGGCGAGGGAGCTGAGGAGCTGGGGAGCCGCGCCGTCCTCTCGGGCGGCGGAGGGAGGACTCTCCTGGAAGGGCAGCTGGGCAGGTGGTCACTAGCTGCCTCCCACGGTGACAGCCCGTAGAAGGGCTAACCTGTGCCCACTAGGCAGGAGCTCCTTGGCCTTCCTGAGCTCTCTTCATCCGGTTTGTGGGGTCTGATCGCTTGGAGCGGAGACCCAAATAGACCATGCTGCTGATGAGTGGAAGCCGGGTCAACTCCCAAAACTTTCAGCCCAGATGTGAAATCCTGCTCTACTGGCTCCCAGCTGTGGGGAAGTCAAAGCCCAGAGTTGGGGCTGTGTCTTGCCCCAAATCCTACCTACGTGCCCAGACCTGGCCAGCCACAAACACGTTATGCCAGGAAATGCAGACAGTATCGAGATTTTTAAACAGTTACAGTGATACAAAAATAACTGGTAGAGCCTGATTGAAATCCAGATACATAGGGGAAGAGACTGGAGAAAATGTCCCAAATGTCACAGGAGTTTCAGTATCTTTGGCGGGATTTTAAAAAATGATTTGCCTTCCTATTTTTTGTAAAATGGTAATATTACTTTTATGAGGGGAAATGTGTTTTTAAAAAAGAACACTTTGGGAGGCTGAGGTGGGAGGATCTCTTGAGCCGGGAGGTCGAGGCTGCAGTGAGCCATGTTTGCACTCGCTGCACTCTAGCCTGGCGACGGAACAGGACCTTGTCCAAAAAAAAAAAAAAAAAAGGAAGAGAATGAGAAGTGAAGGTGAAGATGTGAAGGTATAGCGACATTAAAGAAACTATCCAAGAAGGTTGCCTTCCTCTCCTCCTCCCACTACAACATAGAAACTTTCTGCTCCCAAGCATCTATCTACCCCTACCTGAATGTTCTATGTCATAAATTACGCCACATGAGTCCTTTTAGTTAAACATGTGTGATTATTACATGTCCAAGGAAGAGGAGGGTCAAAAAGCAAATACTTCATGATGTCGATGTGCCAGGGAATGCCCCAAGTGGCTGGAGTGTCCCTGCTCTGACATCTTCCCTTCCGATTGGCATGATTTATCGCCAATGGGGCTGCCACGTCTCTTACCTTACCACCCAACATGGTTGCCCTGAAGCTGCGCTCTGCCCTCCCTGTCACCTGGTCCTAGAATCTCACAAACTGACAACTCATCACTCGAAAGTACTTTGAATGGGGCTAGGTATATTGGAGTAAAACCAACTTCTGCAGAGAGGGTGGAAAGAGGATAACACATATACTACACACTGACTCAGAAGGAAAGGCAAGATGAAAAAAGCATCAGGTAGAGCAAGGGGTGGGGGAAACTGCATCCAATTAGAGCTCAAAGAAGCCGCGCAGAGGAGTCTCTACTGCAGGAAAGATCTCTACCCGCTCAGGCGGGCAAGGCCAGTGACCTCCCCACGCGCAGACACTGTGCTGGGTGTAGGCATGCTGCAGAGGAAGGAGGATAGTCTGTGCTCCAGCCTGCACTCCCTTGGGACCAAACACAGAAAGCCAGGCCCTTGTAGGCCGGGCACACGGTGTCACGCCTGTAATCCCATCACTTTGGGAGAGGCTTGCGACGGGTGGATCACGCAGGTCAGGAGATCCAGACCATCCTACAACACAGTGAAACCCCTGCCTCTACTAAAAATACAAAAATTAGCCAGGCGTGGTGGCAGGCACCTGCAGTCCCAGCTACTCGGGAGACTGAGGCAGGAGAATGTGGCGTGGAACCCGGAGGCAGAGTTTGCAGTGAGCGAGATCGCGCCACTGCACCCAGCCTGGGCAACAGATGACTCCATCTCAAAAAAAAAAGAAAGAAAGAAAAAAAGAAAACAGAAGGAAAAGAATAAAAAGAAAAAGAAAAAGAAAGAAAGAAATTGGCCCTTGTAATACACTTGTGATTTGTCCACAAATGAAGCCAGGTGCCAACCCAATCTGGGGACTCACAGGAGGCTTCTAGAGACCAAAGGAAGATGGCTCAGATGAGGAAACTGAGGCTCAGGTGTTCAGATTCCCAAGTTCTGAGCTCTTGCCCCTTGGCACATGGAGCTGCTGTCATGAAATTGTTTACTTGTATAGCAGGTGCTGGGGCGGGCTCTCTTTGGAGCATTGTGAAGATGACCCTTCACTAACAGAAAGACGGAGAGATTACGCCATCCCAGGAGCCGACTACCCAGTTTTGCCTTAGTGTGGGACAAACTCGAATGCCCTTGACACCCCAGAGCTCCCCATGGGATCAGGCTGAGGCTGGACTTCTCTGGAAATCGTAGCTTGCCAGCCTCCCAGCCCGGTCCCACCTCCCTACCTGTGTAAGCATACCCCAATCAGCTGCTCACTGAGAACCCCCATCCCGGCATCCCTCTTCTAAAGAGACTGACCAAGATAGGATCCTGCACATTTGCCATTACCCAAGCACTTAGCAAATACAAGCTCATTTAATCACGGTAACATCTAGAGGCATTCCTACCGTGATTTACATTAATAGAGGCGAAAGGAGTGTGACATGGCATGCCAAAGAAGAGAGACTGGAGACTTCACTGAGAAAAAACTTACATCCACATGCCCACCCACTGCCTCTCTGGACACCTCTGCCTGAGAGGAACAGAAGTGGGGCTATTGCATTTGTCTTCCCAAAAGGAGCTGAACTAGAGAGGAAGAGGCCACACTTGGGGTGACCAAGACCAAGACCTCTATTATACCATTAGTCCTTTCCACTCTGTGTGCAATGTTAGCCCCAGGCGTCTGCTGATCGTCCCTGTGTGACTTGTGATTGAGATGGGAAGGAAGAGAAACTGGTAGGGGTGTGAAGGGACTTGATTTCCCAGCTTTGCCATAAATTGGGATCTTCTCTCTCTCTCTCTCTCTCTTCTCTCTCTGTGTGTGTGTGTGTGTGTGTGTGTGTGTGTGTGTGTGTGTGTGTGTGAATTGTTAGAGAGAATAAGGCCTGTCTTTCTTACAGTCAAGCGGGGCTTTCCATATCGGACTAAAAACCACATGCACACACACAACACTGCAGGGTGAAGGAGTCTTGAGTCCTAACTGAATGCACAATTCCACATTCTTTATTTCCTCCGCATTAAAACCACAGCCATGCCAACAGCAAAAGCACCAACATTGTAGTGCTCCATCCTCCCACCAAGACTTCACATGGAAAAGCAGCTCAGGAAAAATCCACTTAGGCTCTGGGGAAAGGAGATGCAAATGCTTTTGTTCTCCTCCCAGACCCTCTGGGAAATCCCCTTTCTGAAGCTGTTACAATGCACTGATCTCTAACTTGCAGAACACTTTCCTTAAAATGATGGTTAAGGAGTAACTCCAACAAGGACAGAGTCTGAAGATTTTTACTGTTAGATTCTGCCTCCTCTCCCCAGCCCTCACCTAAAGGATAAGATTTATTTGTGAAAAGGAAAGTGCAAAATTGGATATATACACATTCAGTACTTGATAAGCGTCTAGAAAAGGAAAATCTGTGAAGGCTACAATCATCAAGTGTAAAATGAGAAAAATAAATACCGCCAGAGAAGTCTTGCCTACCTTGTATAAACAATCAAGTGTTCTAGGAAGCGACACGTTGGGTAATTCTACACATTGTGCTAAGAGGAAAACGGAAATGGGCCGGATTAGGTCTGAAGAAGAAATGGTTCATTGTTTGGCATTCTTTAAATGCTGGAATAATTACTCAATTATGGGTGTTTCTCATATATTTAAATAATGCAAATCCACAAGCACTGGAAGAGATTAGAAGATGTTGTTCTTGTTCATTCCTGTCTTGCTGGTTTAGGGGCATCAAAGGAAGGGTAAATTGCAAAGATCCCTAAGGGGACCTCTCCCCAGGCTCAGGAGTTGGAATAGGGACAGGGTGAGGTTATTTCTTGGTGTTTTATTTCATGGCTTTATGTAAAGACATAAACTTTAGGCACTTATTTGACTTATATTCCAAAAAGTCACTGTTTAGATTTCGTGTGTGGACGGGGAGCACTTTTCTCAACTGGGACTTTCCTTGATTTGCGTAGATGCGTCCATTTTGAAAATTCAGATTTTTCTCATGTCCT